TATGTATTAGAATAAAAAATATAATAAATATACTCTTAGAAAAATCCAAAAAAAAAAAAGGACACCTCCATTTCTATGGAAAAAAAAAACACCCCAATTAAGGTTGCATGCATTGTCAGTAGAGATTAGAGAATGCTATACTTTGTTCTACAAATTAAAATTGTATCATTTTTAATTGTTAATATAAGAATAAATTTTTAACATTAAAAGTTTATTAATCTATCTATAATTAAATAAAGTGCAATATATTAAGACCGGATTATATTGCACTTTTTTTTGTAATTAATATGTGCGAAATACTCCATCCCACAATATTTCTCTATTTTTAACTAAATTTTTGTTTTAAATAATGTTTTTTTTGTTTACATCTTAAGAAGTACTAATTTTTTCTTATTCATTTTAAGCGTGTAGTTATAGAGCATTCGTTAAACTTAGTTTCATAAAAGTAGAATACAGTTTGGGCACGGGATACGTAACATGTGAATTAAGATATATGGTTTTTTTTTTAATCTTCGTTGCACAATGAAATTTTACTCCACTCGCATATTATGCGATTTGAATTCAAGATTTTTTATTTTCAACAAAAAAAATTATTAAACTATTTATAGACCATTAACAAATTAAGATATATGTTAGGTGATAAAATAAAGTTATTTTTTATTAAGAAATGTAGAAAATAATGAAAAAAAATTCAAACCTCAAATGTCTACTTTTTTTTATATGTTTTTTCAGTTTATTTTTAGTAAATTTAATTTGATTTTTTATATATAAATTTTAAATAAAAATTTAATAACTTATATAAATAACAATTGAAAAGTTTTTTTAATATAAAATTCTGGTTGTGTTTTTTAATTTGATTAAAAAATTTAATTATTATTTATATAATATATTAAAATTTTATTTAAAATTTATAATTAAAAAATAAAAAAATCAAATTAAATTTATTAAAATAAACTAATAGTGTATTATAATTAATATTGAAGAAATATAAACTGAGAATGGTATATATTGAACTTTAACCAGTCAAGTATGGCAAGAGGCACCGCCTCCACCCCCAACCCTTACTGACCCACATCATTCGAAGATGGCTGGCGAAAAATTCAATTTGGGAATTGAACCGTGCACGTTTGGGCGACCCCATGAGAATTGTATAGCCGACCATGAATGCATTTACAATTAAAAAATGTTAGATGTTTTTCAAAACATATGGTACAAAGGAAAGATTTTTTACATTATAGTGCGAAAATAGAAAAAGTTAATGGACTGTAAGTGTACCAACCACTTGGAAGGCATTAAAAAAAATCAAATGATTAATCGGATTATCATTCTATTCAAAGAGTTTTGTGTATTTCAAATTACTGATTATATAATTTTAATTAGTAAATATGAGTTAATATTAAGATTTTTTAATTAATAATTTATATGTTACAATTCTATATATATTAAATTGTAAAATATAAAATTTATTATACAATGTGTTATATATAAATTTAGTATTTTATTATTTATATCAATCAAATTATAAAATACTAATAATTAAATAAATGAGTCTTTTCTTTTTTTTAGATCATAATAAATGAGTCTTTTCAATACTAAAGGTCTTTCTTAATTTTATAATTAGTACGGAGTACAGTGTGAATATCAAAAAAAAATTTTATACGTATAATATTAAAAAAGCTTAAAAAATTAAGACGTCGTAATGTTTAAAATATTTATTACAATTATCTATTAAGTAGGTCTCAAAAATAAAATTTACTCATAAATAACTGTAATGAATTTTCTGAGCATCGAGATCCTGATTTTCATATCCCTGTAATATCAAAAGAGGAAGAAGAAGAAGAAGATAAATTCAATGATTAAATCATGTGCTCATGGCCTGCTCTCATGGTGGAGCTGAAGAGTACTCCCATGACAAGCTCATGGTAGGGCCCACATTCCCACTTTGAATCCACCGATTGGCCTCCTATATTTTATTTTAATTAATAAAATAGTAATAATCTATCCTTATTTTTTGTTTTTAAATGGTCAAATATCTAAATTAACTTTTACAAATTAAAATTTATTTAATTTAATCCATCAAAAAAAAAATTCAAAATAAGTTTACCTGGACCAGTCTCATTACGACCCAATACCATTTCAAGCCCAGTGGAAAGTCGAAGCGTAAGCCGCGTAACCCCTCCTCCAAAGAAAAGGTCAGAACCCATTTTTAACACGGACCGATCGCCACGTGTCCTTCCACAAGGCAACCGGAAAATTACCAAATTTAATTTCATTTAATATTGACAAAACCCTCCTTTAAGCCCCTAGACTTATACGTGTGAACCCCTACACCAAAAAAAGTGCAAATAAACCCTCATATCCCTCGAAAGATGTAAATTAATCCTCATTATTAATTATCAAATGCATGTGACTTCAAGTCATCTATTCTTCTACCTCACTTGCACTTGGTTCTATGTTTCATGTAAATGTTAACTTGAATCAAATGCTCCATTAGGTAATAAAAATAATTTAAAATGACCCACATGATTCTTTTTTTTTATTAGTAGATCATTTTGATAAAATTTTTACTATCCAATAGGTTATTTGATCCATGTTAGATTTTAAATGGAAAAGAAAAACTAAGCGTAGGAAAAAAACAAATGGCATGAGATCATATGCCTTTGGCAAGTAACGAGGAGGGCTGATTGGCACATTTCGAGGGGTTTAAGGGTTAATTTACATCATTTTAAAGAGTTTAAAAGATTATTTGTACTATTTTTAGTTTAGAGGGATGTATATTAATTTGGGGTAAGTTTGGGAGTTAAAGAGAGGGTTTTGCCTAAAAAATTTACAAAAGACGCAACACCCAGAATTAGAAAACAGGGATTTCTTGAGCCAGTCAATAGCCGCGTGGTGATTGAGGCACACCACACTATTTTCCCAAAATACCCTCTTAAACGTCGTCGTCTCGTATTAACCCTTCAAAATTCCGGGGCATAACAGTAAGAGCATAGAAAATAAAAAAGATTATTTAAGAAGATGCAATGGAGAAGTGGGGTAGAAGACAAGAGAAACGGCTCCTTCCATTCTCTTCTGTTCCTTGATAGTCTTTACAACTGCCACCCATCCCATTACAGAGAAGCACCAGCTTTTTTTTCTTTAAATTTCTCTCTCTCTCTCTCTCTCTCTCTCTCTCTCTCGTTGGGAGTTTTTGAAGGTTAGAAGACTGAATTATTCCTTATTTTTGGGGGAAAATCCATAGTCTTTAGTTGATATTGAAGAGGGTAAGTGATTAAGAGAGAGATTGTGGGGGTAACGGTTTGAGGGTAGTGCTTGAGATTTAAAGGGGAAAGTTTTCTGCTTTTTTCTGGGTTTTGGCACCGATTCTGTAGGTGGGCTGGTGTGAAGTTTGCTCATTTGGGAGTTGATCCGGTTTTGAGCAGGGAAATCTGCAGAAGGGTGCTGAAATTTTTTGTGGGGTCTGTGTTTGTAGAGCAGAAGGATGTGGTGGATGATGAGTGAAGGTGGAGGGCATTACTGTTCTAAGAAGACTGATCATATTTGTGGTGATGTATGTGGGCAGGTACTTTCTATCTCTCCTTCCCTTTCGTTTTTCTAGATTTTTTTTTTTTTTTTGAAGAGAAAATGGGTTTTTGGATCTGCATGTTGAGCATTCATATATTGATCTCATTTCCGTTTTCTTTTCCTTTGCGGTCATGGTTTTCATGGGAATGTCGGGAAGTAAATGAACTTCGAAATTTTGGATCTTGAGTTTGCATAAAGGATTGCTATTTGCTGGCCTGATGCAATTATCTTAATCCTGACCTTTGTATTCTTGTTGTAAGTTTGGTCCCAATTGAAATTGTTGAGAATCTTTATTGGATTGTTTGATTGGAGATTTGGTGTCGCATGTGGTTTTTGGTTTTGGTATCGATCCATCTGTGAATTTTGTATGTTTAAGTTTGTCGATTTATAGAGAGACTTTTTATTTTCTTAAACTAAAAATTGCGGTTACTGAATAAACCTTAGAATTTGGTAGGGAAGATGATCATTTTTAGCTCAAAAAAATATACTTGGGAAATTGGGAAGAAAATTTTGTTGTTCACATACTTCATATAATTTTTTAAAGAAGAAATTCTATTGGACCTTACTAGGTGCTGTTAGTTTACATATGTTTCCTACCTTTTATTTTGTTCTTGTACTAATATGATTCTTATGAAACTGGTTGTAATCTGTGGTAAATTTACTTGTAGACTGTATTCTTCGATGTTTTCTTGGGTGATGAGTGTCAAGGTTATACATTTGCTTTGCTTCGCTTTGCGTTATATTTAGTCAGAATCCATTTAATTAAGAGGATGTTCTTGCTATTACTGTACAGGAATCAAGCCAAGCTTTGAGCTTGTCAAGAATCCGCTGCATACTTCGTGGGATAGATTTCAAGACATTTCTGTTTCTGTTTACGGTTGTTCCAACTTGTGTATTTGTCATATATGTCCATGGGCAGAAGATCTCGTACTTCCTACGACCCCTGTGGGAATCACCTCCGAAACCTTTCCATGATATCCCACACTATTATCATGAGAATGTCTCCATGGAAAACCTATGCAAACTCCATGGTTGGGGGATTCGTGAATACCCAAGACGTGTTTATGATGCAGTGCTGTTCAGTAATGAGCTGGATATTCTTACAATAAGGTGGCAAGAGCTGCACCCTTATATCACCCAATTTGTTCTCCTTGAGTCCAATTCAACATTTACTGGACTCCCAAAGCCTTTGGTTTTTACCTCGCATAGGGATCAGTTCAAGTTTGTTGAGTCCAGGTTGACTTATGGGAATATTGGAGGACGATTTAAAAAAGGGGAAAACCCTTTTATTGAGGAGGCTATCCAGCGAGTGGCACTAGACCAGCTTCTCAAAATAGCAGGAATTTCTGATGATGACTTGTTGATAATGTCAGATGTTGATGAGATTCCTAGCAGGCATACTATCAATCTCTTGAGATGGTGTGATGACATACCTCAGATTCTTCATCTGCAGTTAAAGAACTACCTTTACTCCTTTGAGTTTCTGGTCGATAATAACAGTTGGAGAGCATCAGTGCACAGGTATCAGACAGGTAAAACTAGGTATGCTCATTATCGCCAGACGGATGACATCTTGGCAGATGCAGGCTGGCACTGCAGCTTCTGCTTCCGTCGCATCAGTGAGTTCATATTTAAGATGAAAGCTTACAGCCATTTTGATAGAGTGAGGTTCTCACATTACTTGAATCCCAGAAGAGTTCAGGAAGTAATTTGCAAGGGGGCTGACTTATTTGACATGCTTCCAGAGGAGTACACATTCAAGGAAATCATTGGGAAAATGGGACCTGTACCTCATTCCTACTCTGCTGTTCATCTTCCATCCTATCTTCTGGAGAATGCAGACAAATATAAATTCCTCTTGCCTGGAAAATGCATAAGAGAAAGTGGGTGATTCTCAATAACTCTAGATGTCTATTTCTGTAAAGGCCTGAGGTGACTCCTCATGAAGGGTTTAACAGAGCAATGGATGCAGCAATGGCATTCGTCCAGCTATGTCTGTTACCATGACATTCTCACAGTTGGGAAGTTGGACAAATGCTTGGAATGAATATCTAGATTGAAATCTTTGTCTATAACTTTTCTTTGATTTTTGAGGTTTCACTTGATGGAGGATGTTCCTTTCTCTGAGGTGGGATCATGCTATAACAGGGGGTTGTTGTAGAATTTTTATGTTACTCAGATTGGTATGACATGCGTCCCTAATACATTAGTTTGAGGTTCGTCGGATTCCCTATGTTGGGAGGTTTTGTCTTGAGACAATTTATTCATTCCTGTTTTCATTGTATTACTTGTATTTTGTACCATTTGATTGCTTTTAGATCATTTACCCCAATTATTTCTTCCCAATTCAGTTGGATTATAGCTTTCAATGATGGATTTAGTTGAAATTTTTTGTTCTTGAAAGTTAGAGGATTTAGATTCAAAAGGGTTGTTAGCTCTCTCCTCCATTTTTTTTTATTTTTTAAATGATGGTTATCAAAAGAGGCAAAGAGAATATTTCTTATCCTGTGATGATGCTGGTATATATATGAGATGCCCCCATTAATTCCCTCACCTATCTATTACATCTGAAATAGGGAATAAATGGTGGTGCCTCTAATGGTCAACATCTGCCACCGCCCCAAAACTTGGATGGTGACTGAACTGAAGTGAAAGGTGAAAATCCAATTTATTTCAGAAAGAAGGAATAAGAGAAGCAAAAATGTGTAAATAAGGACACTAACTTTTAGTAAAGTGTAATTAAAGGCACTATGTTCTATTAAGTGCAAGTAGAGACAAAAGCTAATAAATTGAGAGGCCTCGAATGAAATTGTTGGGGCGACACAAACTTCTTCTTCTTCTTCGTTTTTTTTTTTAATGGTTAGTTATAGTATTTAAAAATATCAATATTTAGATTGATTTTAATGTATTAAGTTATAAATATATCAATTGTTTTATTATTTATCAACTAACAACTATAATTATTAATTATTTTTAATAATCAAAATAAATAGAATCAGTATTTTAAATGATAAATTTTAAAAATTTATTTGATTTTAATAATTTATTGTGTAATCATAATCATTCTCTTTAATTGGAAAGAAAAAAAAAACATTATTCTATTCAAACCCATAATGGCATGATTAGAAGTAAATGTCTTATTCATTAACTTTTTCCATTTCCAGCTCTTAGAAAATTGTTCAGTTCAAAAAGTATAGAATCCGAGCGTTAGTAATGATGAATGGGAGGAAGGTGTCATCTCTTACAATCCAAAAATTAGCCTATAAATATCATCTGCAATGCACACAACCTGTAAATCACAATTCAAAATCACAAATTTGTTTCAATATACATAAAGAAATCATGTTGAACAAATTCGCCCGCTGCTTAGGATGTCACCAGCGCAGCAACGGTTATTCCGCTTTTCATCATGAAACCTGGCAATCTCAAGACGACTATCAGGATTCAGGAGAGTTATTCCATGGTCAATGCCTACATGGGTTCTACTCCTCCACCCCCCAATCCCCAGATGATGTTTGAGGGGGTCACTTTACATCAGGAAGCCTGGAACGACGACAAAAAGATGAGCCAAAATCTAATAGGGCGTGGCGGAAGTCTGTCTCAGAGTGGGTGGGAAGGCAGAGCTGCAGCTGGGATCGGGCATGGCAGTAGCTTTGACGAGAAGAACGGGTTCAATTGTGTGGACGGGTGTATGGCGCAATATCAGACTTGCATTAACATGGTGGCTAGTTCTCCGGGGACGGTGACGTATGAAGCGGTTAGATATGAATGGGAAGATGAGGATTCGTGTCGTCGGCGGCGGTTAGACGATGGTACCAAGTGGCAGTGCAGTGGCTACCGTCAGAATTGGCAAAACCCCCACTTAAGCCCTCAAACTTACCCCAAAATAGTATTTAAGCCCCTAAATTAAAAATGAAGCGGATTAGCCCTCTAACTTCACCAATGATGCAAATAAGGCCTTCTCATTCATGAGTGTTCATACTTTCAATGTGATATTTAACATGAAATACTGTTTGACTCATTGTGAGAAGAGTTTATTTGTATTATTAATAAAGTCAGAGGGTTTGTCAGTTTCATTTTTAATTTACAAACTTAAATATTATTTTGAGATAAGTTTGGAGGCTAAGAAAAGAATTTTGCCGTTAGAATTTTATTGCCAATTCAAAATAAAACTATGATCGTGTGGTGTTTGCCCTCCCTCCCTCCCTCCCTCCCTCCCTCAAAGGGGAGTATAAGGATGGAGCAAGGGAAATATGAGGATGGAAGAAAATAAAGATAAAAACATCAAAGATCTTTCAAGTCTTTTATTGGTAAGTTTTAGGAAATGCCCATGTTTGATTTGCTTGTTTTGACAAAATATATGCCATAAAAAGAATATAACGTAATTATGATGCCATGTGGTATCATAAGTTTTAAATTACAAAGATTCTTTTTATTATATTATATATATGTATATTTAATAATAAATTATAATTATAAAGTTATAATTTTAAGTAATTTTATTATATGTTTCATCAATTTAAAAAGATTTTGAGTGAGATCAATAACTTAAATAGTTAAATAATAATTTTTTTAGTAAAAATAAGAGATTTTGAGTTTAAATTATATTAAAAAAATTGTTTCTTATTATATAATTTAAAATTAAAAAAAATTGAGTGCAATGATTTAGGATATTAATTTTTGATATCATTAACTTAATTGACCAATTCACTTCTAGTATTGACCGGATCAGTTGTTCTTGGATATTATATTTTTCTGTCTCCATCTTTAAAGCTTTTTTTTTTTTTTTTGACTAGGTAGAAATATTCATCTTTTGGTCGAAGCTTGGCTTGAGTCTCAACCTTTGTGTAAACTTGGACCTGACTTTTCAAGATTGAGAAGATGAACACTGAATACAAATAAGTCCAGCAAAAATTTGATTTTGAAGTTATGTTAGAATCACATTCGATTTTAATGCCAAAAAATATCTTCTTTCTCAACTTGCACTGCGATTTCCCATCCTCTGCCCATTCTGGTTTGGATATTCCTAATGTTATGCCTTTAAGATTTCCAAGTTGGAACTTGAGCAAGCATCCTTACCCAAGTTTTAAGTTCCCTTAGCCACTAAAAAGTTGGCTTAGATTCTGCTTGATAGGTGACAAAAGGAAAAGGAATTAGATTCCAATCCTATCGTAAGGAATAAATATATTGGGTTGGACTCTATATAGAAGTACAAGGAAGAAAAAATCATTCGAACAAGTAGCTCAAGATGTCATATAGTCTTAGGCACCATGACAAGCCCTCACAGGGTTGGGGTTGGGATACCTCCACTGATTTCCGAGTCTATCATGTCACAGTTTACTCAACACCGAGGGAACTTCCTCAATATCCGAATGTTCGCCCCACCTATGATGATGAAGAGGAGCAACGTCGTCTCGATGCTCTGACGACTCGAATGGAGAAACATAACCACGTTGCTGCTGCTCCTGCTCATGTTGAGAAGCTTGAACCTGATTGGCAAGTTGATGAAGAAGATGTTAATGAAGAAGCTAAGGAGTTTATTGAAACGAAGCGGAAGAAGTTTACAAGCAGGTTGATGTCCATGCAAGTTGGCTAAGAGTATGTGTACAAACATGCCATAGGGCCATAAGTATATAGTTTGTATGCTAAGCCAAATAACATGTCAAAAGCTTCTCTAGTTGTTTTTGAAACACATGTATGTTAGTGATTTCATATATATCTTCAACACCATATATACATACATATATATATATATAATAGAAATCTGTTCATATACAAATCTTATACACCATAATTATATAAAATCTCAACTATTAAAAATAAAGAGATAAATGATTAAAATTTTGTGTAAATATAGTGTGTAAAAATTATGTATAATTGGATCTCTCCTTGTATATGTATATAATTCAAAGTGTTAACAATTACTTGTATTAATTCAAATTAGATAATTCTCGACTTCAAGGTCAAATTTAATTTAAATTTAAGATTTCTAATTTAGAAATTGTATGCTAACGGTTAAAAGATTCTTCAAAAGGGAAGGACTGTGATCTTTTCAAAATTAAATCATTTTGTTTTTGTATCCTTCTGCATGGCTTCCGGGCTCTAGGGTGTCTTGTCTAAATGGACCAAATGATATTCTGGAAATTTTAGACTTTTTGTTAGCTTGAGCAAGTGGTAATCCCCAAATCTTATAGTTAACCCAACTATATCTTTGCCTTCAACACCATCCTTCATCAATCCAATTCTTGATCTAGACTTGGATTCTAGAAATATATATAGTAGGGATCAATTTATATAGAAGTTTTATACACTACGCTTATACAAAATTTTAATAATTCATTTTTTCACTTTCAATAGTTGAGATTTATCACGATTTTTAGATAAAACAAATAATTGTTTTTCTTTGAAATAAGGCAATTGGTACATATTCTAGTGCCATAGGGGAATGGGGAAGGGGATCCCATGGAGCTTGAACACACAACTTAATGGAGATGATCCCAACTAACCAATGACTTTAGGCACTAGGCCAAAGAGTGAAGATCTAAATAAAAAATAATAATTAGTTTTAATAAATATGATAAAAAGTGAATAACTCTCAATCATTGAAAGTAAAGAAATAAATTGTTAAGATTTTGTTAAAGTGCCGTGTGTAAATAGATTCCTACTTATATATATATATACATGAGCAAAGTGTTTTGCAGGTTGATTTCCAAAAATTTTTGGGAGATCCACATGTAAGACAACGTCGTTTACTTAATGAATCCTAGCCATCCTTTTCAACTTTTGCCCTAAACAATCCTTTGCCAATCAAAACATTCCTCCCCTCTTATCCTACCATTTCCTTTCTACTCCATTGATATCTCATCAAAAAGTGCCTATCTTGATTTCCCTTTGCATTATCCTACAACAATCTCTTACTTTTCTTACTATAAGTGTGTGTCGTAATTCTAGTTGTGAAATCTATTGTTCAATCCTTCACTATTCCAAGTTCATTGATGGATTGGTGTCCCAATCTCAAGTTGGGGAGATTTCCTTGAGTTATGGCTATAAGTTTTACAGATATAGAATTTCTCCCACCCAAATAGTGTTTGTCCCACCTAAGCATAGCATAATACAAGGAATGGAAGAAGGGTTTTTTATGAGGGATCGAAAGAGAAGGTGACAAATGATTGATGGAGGAAAAGAAGGGAGAAGAGTTTGAGTGCAAACCCATGACAAACAAGGCTCAACTGTGGTAGTGTATTGAAGAGGTGAATTAGGATGCGGGGCATTTAGGGCTTGACAAGGCTAGGTTTCATTAAGTAAAATGACATCGTTTTACATGTGGATCCTTTTACAATTTTCTGAGATCGACTTGTGGAGCACCTTTATATATACATACATACATATATATAGGGGAATAATGTCTATCTTACCTCCTAAATATTAAAGGATTTTAAAACTATATCTTTTTAATAAAATCTCATTAAAAAAAACTAAAATATCTTATATTTAAAGTATGAATTAGAGTGTTTTTAGTCATTTCTTATGATGGTTTATTGGAACGATGTAGTTTTACAGTAATTTTTCTCTTAATCTTTAAGAGATAAGGCGATTATGCACTAACCACATATATATATTTAGGTCATTGTTCAAATGTTTATAGAAAGGCTAACAAAAATAGAAAAACACAAATCCTCAGATGATAATAGGGTTTTTCTAATATGTGTTTTTAAATTGTAATAAATATATATTTTTATCATAAATTTACAATGAAAAAGTAAAAAATTGACTCGTAATTTATTAACTATATAATTAAATTTATTCACTTAATACTAATACTAAAATTAATATTAATTTTTATATTTTCCTATACACATTTATAATAACAAAAAAGTATCCTTAAGAGGACATGTTAAAACTATGATAATATTGTATCAAGAAGGCATGAAATTATTTTAGATCTAAACTCGATTGACAATTTTGCGAGGATTGAAAATGAATGAAAACACAAATATCTCTCAATAGATTCTCAAGAAACAAACAAGCCAAATGTGAAGAAAATGGAAGGAAAATAAAGGTGGGAAAAGGGAGAAAAGAAGAGAGAATAAAGGTTGAAGCGAACCCAATAAGGGTTGGGTTCAAGGGATCCCACTAGAGGCTGGGTTTGAATGGACTGAGCAGGTGCTCAATTTGAGCAAACCTAGTAGGGGTTGGGTTCAAGTAAACTGAGTGAGGGCTGGGTTTAAAGGATCCTAGTAGGGGTTGGGTTCATATGAACCCAACGGTTTGCTGGGTTCCTTCAAACCCAATTATTGGGTTCATTTCAAATCCAGCAAGAAGAAGAAAGGGAGAAGAAGAAGAAAAATGGGAAGTGTTGGGATAATAATCTAACTAGCCTATAAACATAATAAAGGCCTATGAGGTCCAAATACAAAAGAGCACGTGTATGAGTCATTATGGAGCTCATATGCACCCAAATGGATCCAAAGGAACCAATAGAAGTGCAATATGTGTAAAGTACTCCCAAGGAGTCTATAAATACCCCCACACCCTTCAAAGATAAGGGACTTTCTAGAGCACTTCTCTTTTTATTATACTCCTTCTATCTCTAAAAAAGCTCTGAGTATAGAATATTATTAACTTGGGTGTTAGAGTGTCTACCCTGAAGATAACCCTTGGGTCTGTTTTGTAGGTCCCCATACTGGTCAACAATGCTAGAGCTTGTGAAGCTACCAAGACAATTGACGCTGTCTGTGGGACAAATAAAAAACTCTATTGCTTTGTTGATCTAATTGAATGCAAGGGGAGGAGAGGAGTGTGACCCTACGTGGGTCTTGCAACAAAGCATTGTCTTCTAGATTGGCTTACAAATCACAAGCTCTAATGAAGAGTTACGAGCTAAGAAACTTTTCATGGGTGAACTTCGATGAAGAGTTACGAGCTAAGACCCTGCATTGGTGAGCTTTGATGAAGAGTTACGAGTTGAGACCCTGCATGGATGAGTTTTGATGAAGAGTTACAAGCTAAAACCCTACATGGGTGAGCTCCAATGAAGAGTTAAGAGCTAAGACTGTACATGAGTAAGCTTTGATAAAAAGTTATGAGCTGAGACCATACATGGGTGAGCTTTGATGAAGAGTTATGAGTCAAGACCCTGCATAGGTAAGCTTCAATGAAGAGTTATGAGCTAAGACCCTACATGTGTTAGCTCCGATAAAGAGTTATAAGCTGGGACCTTACATGGGTCAGCTCCGATGAAGAGTTAAAAGCTAACACCCTACATGGGTGAGCTTTGATGAAGAATTATGAGCTGAGAGACCTTACATGGGTGAGCTCCAATAAAGAATTATGAGCTAAGAGACCTTATATAGGTGGGTTCCTATGAAGAAGTACGAGTTGAGAAAACAATAGGCTATGGAAAAATTGAGCTGAGGCTCTAATGAAATTGAGTAAGAACCATGCTTGGTGAGCTCCCAACTTTGACTTGAATAAGCTTTTGAGTCTATTAGCTATTGGCTTTTCAGCCCATCTGCTCTACAAGAGCTTCTGCTTGTCAGCTATTGGCTTTTCAACTCATCTATCCTACGAAAGCTCAGTTCAATTTTAGCTCTGTGAAGCATAACTCTCAGGGGTTTGAATTCTATGTTATAGCCTGAGGATCAAGATTTTTCAAGTTGTCATTCCTAGCTTTAGGGCATAATTCTCGACATCCAAAATGGGACCATTAGCTCCATAAGAGCACAATAAAATTTTAACTCTATAGAGCATGACCCTCAAGGATCTAATTTCTATGTTATGACTTGAGAGGTCAATATTTTCATATGGACATCCCAAAGTGGGATTTTGAGGTAGACATCTCTAGCTGCCAAGTTGGCATTCAATCTATTAGCTCTACAAGAGCTCATTTGGATCTTAGCTCTGTAAAGCATGACCATTAAAGGTTTGGTTTCTACATTATGGCCCACAAGGTTCAAATTTTCTAAGTCGTTACTCTCAGGTCATCCCTTTCAGGTTGTCAAGTTCCAGGACAACTTTCTTTGCTATGCCTCATGACATCAAGGTCATGCATAAAGATCTAAGAGATCAGTATCTTCCAAGTTGTCATTCTTAGCTTTCAGGTTTTAGTTATCATCATCAAGCCAAGTTTTCCAAGCTAGGTTCTTCAAGAATAAATTGGACCTCTCTGCAATCTAGAAAAACAAGAAGCTGGACATTAGTGATTTTTCAACGAGCTTACAAATCATTAGAGGGGGAGTAGTGTTGGGATAGTAATCTAACTAGCCCATAAACATGATAAAGGCCCATGAGATCCAAATGCAAAAAAGCACATGCATGAAGCATTATAGAGCTCATATACACCCAAATGGATCCAAATAGACCAATAAAAGTGCAACACATGTAAAGCATTCCTAAAGAGTCTATAAATATCCCCACACCCCTCAAAGGTACGAGGCTTTTCTAAAGCACTTCTCTCTCTATTGTACTCCTTTCTCTCTCTCAAAGAGCCCTAAGTGTAGAATATTACTAATTTGGGTGTCGAGGTGTCTACCCCAAGGATAACCCCTGGGTCTGTTTTGTAAGTCCCTATGCTGGTTAATAGTGCCAGAGCTTATGAAGCTACCCAAATAGGAAGAAAGGGGAAGGAGGGAGAAGAAAAGGAGAATGAAGGTTATGAGGAAGATGAAGAAGGAAATTTTGTTATTTTTAATATATTTTAATTTATTAA